GCACTTGTACATGCTGCTTCTGCTTTTGAAGTTGATGTTGTTGTAGTGTTGGATCAAGAACGTCTCTACAATGAACTGAAACGAGACCTGCCTCATTTTGTTCGAACTGTGCTACTTCCCAAATCAGGTGGAGTGGTAGAGCGCTCTAAAGATTTCCGTCGGGAGTTTCGTGATGACCGCATACGTGAATACTTCTATGGTTTCCGAGGATGCTTCTATCCACATGCTTTTGATGTCAAGTTCTCTGATGTTAAGATATATAAAGTGGGAGCTCCCACTATCCCTGACTCATGTCTGCCTCTGGGCATGTCACAGGAAGACAATCAACTCAAGCTAGTCCCAGTTACACCCGGCCGTGACATGGTTCATCATCTATTAAGTGTTAGCACTGCTGATGGCACTGATGAGAACATCTCTGAGACCAGTGTGGCTGGTTTCATTGTGGTAACTGGAGTAGACTTGGAACGCCAAGTGTTCACAGTGCTTTCACCAGCACCACGCCCATTGCCAAAGAATTTCCTGCTCATCATGGACATTCGTTTCATGGATCTCAAGTAGTGTCCAGACTGGAAAAGTTCCACCAAGTTCTCAGGAGCTCTTTTACAAACAAAATTACATTTTTAAATGGAATAATTACCATACAGAATGAAGATGACAAAAAAGAGGCATAAGAATTGAGTACAGTAGCAGTTGAAGTCATTTGAAAGGAAAAGAGTCAGTTCTAATTTTGTATCCGTCATTAGAATTCTCAAACATGAATCTGAGAAGATTCATAGATTTTGGCTCATGAAGAACTATAATAGATAAAAGAGTTGCAGACTAACAAATTATTTGGTTTGCATTTTTCCTTGAGTCTTTTCCTGAAACTGGGATTCTGCCTAATATGTTCATCATTAGGCATCCATCATAAATGTGTAAGCATGGAAGTAGCAATGTACATTTTGAATGATCCCTCTATCAATGACCTCCCCATATTGATGGAGAATGTTTTAAGAATAGATATATTTGCATTCTGTTATTCCCCATCACTTTGAAGAAACTGGAGCAGTTTGTGATTCCAGTTCCCTTTATATTACAGATCATTTTTAAATCAATCTTTCAATAAATCACAAAAATATTAGTATCATATTTGTGGCCCTCTGTATGTAACACTATAATGTCTAGGTCCTGCAAGAACTGAATTTACAAAAAAAGATCTTACAATCTTGCAAGTTATTTTGCCTTTACACTATATTAGTGCAAAGAGAAAATTTCACAGCGAAAAACATGAAAATACAGATTTCACAGTATTCAAGTAGCCAAGATACTCCTATATCTCCCTTTCTTAATAACAAAAATCCTCTCATCATCAGATGACTCAGGAGTTCCTGCTGATTCACTGGTAATTCTTATTTACTGAACTTCAGCACCTTTAAAACAACTCTTGACAAAATGCTGCTTCTTCCCAGATCTCATTAGATAAAACTCACTATTTGTTGGCTAAGATAACTTTATTTAACTAGACAAGTGGGAGGGAAATCCAACAAATAAACAACTTTAACTTGGGGATAGTCACAGTCTCCTTTATTAAAATATAATCCCCTCAACAGCGTACCCCTCTATGTAAGAATATTTCTCTTCCCTAGTTTCTAGGGAATTTAATGTCAAAAGTGATTACAGTGCAATAATTACAGTGCCATGTTAAACTTTGATTCAAGTTTTTTGGAACAAAGTTTCTACAATATAAACATTAAATTGGTGTAATGTTAATCCAGCTTGATTTTTAAGGCACATCAATACTTTCCTTTAATTCAAATGGCTCTATGGAAGTGTATGGAACTATCTCCTATAAACAAGATTGCTCTTCGTTCCTCTCATATTGATGACACTTACAAAATACAAAGATGGAGGGTATAGTCCAGAACACCATGCTGTATGGATTCTGATACTGTTTTTGTTTTTCTGTATCATGCCTTTTCAGTCCTACAACTAATATGATTATGCCGGATATTCATTTAGGTGACAAAATAAATTCAGAGTCTTAGGTGTGCTGAATTTAGGTGAAGCCTTTTTGGAGATCCCTGGAGAAGCAATGGCTGACTGAAGACTATTGTAAAGAGCGGAGCCAATGTCAGTGATGGAAAGAGGAGCCAGTGAATGGATCAGCTCTTCAAACTCAATTTTTTTCTCTTTTTTTCCTTTGGCCTTTTAAATTGTTTTAGCTGATATTTTTGTTACTGTAATTTTAAACATCAATGAAAATTATTTTTAAAAGTTTGATGTGAAATCTGTCTTCTGTTGTACTTTGCACATTGACAGATGTTCAGAGAAATTCATCCAGCTGGTTCAAAATAATATGCACCATTGGTTTCCCTCAGCCAGCAAGCTTTTGTGATTCTGGAGACTAAAATTACATACTAAAATGTTACCCAAATTCAACTGAATTAAAATGCTTTAGCATCCTATATTGCCTTCTATTAGTTCGCTGATGCTTTTCACTGCTGAATGGCTCACTTGTAGGTATACTGTAATACAATTTATACTTCAAAATCTTCACACCTTGTTGAGTTACCCTACCTCATTTAGTCCTGGAAGTTTTGTCCCTAATAGTAAGAACGGCTGGTTCCAAGCATTAAAAACAAGGGGGTACTTCTATAGTGTCACTCTAGTAATTATATTCATGCACAAATTCATATATTTTCTCTCTCTAGGCTTATCTCCTTCTCAAGTGACTTGAGTCTGATTTGAATTTTCAGCTGAGTTCTTTGAGACCCGTAAATTGTGTGAGATTGCTGATCCAGCATTGCAGATAGAATTTGGACAGGTAGCTTGCAGATGTCACTTCCATCTGTTTCCCTCTGTAGGGATCTGTCAAATTTTGGAGAATATCTAAGCAATTTTCTCTGCATTATTGCTTCCTCCACCTCTCAGAATAGCGTCTTCAAATACATTTGCTTTGCCTGATCACTGTAGAATCTCAAGATGTAGAGCAATAAGTCTGATGCCAGCTAGTTTTCAAATGATAGTGTGTATGCAAGTAGGTTGTCAGTCATCATTTTATTGGTTATTAAATAGGAAATCCTGTCATAGTGCCTGAAATTGCAGTTATGGGCTTGGTAACTTTATTTCCCATGACTCAATTTTTTACTAACAAAAGCTGTAATGCAAGTATTAGGTTTGGCTCTTGAAACAAGTCTTCTGGCCAGTAGCCCGGCCATCTATCTGTAAAATATTCTGTATGGCAACTTCCAATCTGCAAGTTCCAAGATTCATATTATAGTTAAGTTGATTTAAAGCTTCAAAAGCCTCATAACACGCTAAACTCCTCCTTTAGGAGACTGTCTTACAACTCAAATCTTTTCACTTATCAGATAAAAAATGTTAAGAGGCTTTGCAAAAACAAAATTAGTTTAACATGGACACAAATAAACTAATACAATGGTTCATACTAGAAATCCCACCATGGTTAAAATATGTATTAAAAAACCTGGATTAATTCATTTTTCTTTATATACTTCAAAGAGCATTAGGAATATAAACTTTATAGAATAATATTTCTTCTTTCCTCTTATTCTTTGCAATTATTATTTGCATTATTATTAATTGCATATAAATCCAATAAACAAACAAACATTACATATTTCTGTATCTCCAATGTGGCTCCATCTTTAAAAGCATTATTGTGAACAAAATAGTTTTCTGAAAGCTTCTATTACAACTAGTTCACTTCATACTGACAAAGTGTGCACCAATTTTGTAGCACTAAGCTTTCTAAACTGCAAGGATTGAATTCCCAAGGGAAAACTTAAATCATTACTTTGCTATTAGTTTAAAATCAGCTAGTATTAAACAAAATCCTCACTGAGCCTTATCTATCCATACCTTTGGTCTAAATGAGCCAGCCATAACTTGATGGAAGTTCTATCTATAGATAATATAAAAAACAGCATTTTCAAAATATGAAAATGGGGTAGAACTATTATGGAAAACAATTGTTAAGCTAAAAGGTAATTTGTGAACCTTGAATCTGGAGGCCTCCTATATTCCCTTAATCCCCAGATTACTCCATTGTATTCTATATAAACATTTTAGAATCTAGAAACATGATTTCTATACATATAACCTCTACGAGAAATAAAACCGAAGAATTTTCTCAACACATTCTGAACAGTTTAATCTGGGGTGAATCTGCAAATTCATCAAAGATACGCGACTTCACAGCCACCCTCAATCCCTCGAGCATAAAATTAAAAAAAAAAAAGACACGCAAACTTTCTACGATTCACGCATGCCTATTCTGGTGGTCTAGCCCTGCCCTCCGCATTTATCAAGCAAACGATTGGTGCGGATGCTCCCAGACGCCCAACGTCACTCACACGCATGCGAATAACTCCTTTTCTAGCTCCAGCTTTGGAGCTCCTCGTTCCCCGAGTCGTGATTTATTAGCGGCGCAGTTCCGCCCCTTTACCCGAACGAATCCGTTCCCGTTTTTCGCCAAACCTAGCTTACTGCGCATGCCCGCAGGAGCGCTGGAAGGAAAGGAAGGAGGAGGGGTGCGGAGGAAAGGGGATTGCGCGCGCGTCTACAGGCAGCAGGCTAACCAACCGGCGAGCCCGAGCGGGTTTGAGAACGCGCATGCGCGCCCTACTTACCGTGCTGGTGTTTCTTGTGACTGCTTGGGCCGAGCGAGCGACCGAGCGAGTACTTGGTTTCCCGGAGTGGCGGCTAAGGCGCGGCTACGGCAGGGACGGCGCTGGCGGGTAGGTGCTAAAGGTCGGAGGCGGCGAAGGAAGAGCTCCGTCTCCTCCCTAGGGAGCGGCGGACGTGGAGCGGGGTCCTTCCTCGCCCGTGGGGCCAGGGCTCCGTGGGCCTAACGGCTCTCGGGCTCTTCCTCGGGATCCAAAGGCGCGAGAGGCGAGGGAGGTTCTCGCCCCCTTTCGCCCATACTCCCCCCCTTCTTCCTTCCGCGAGTGTAACTTCTGCCTCGGCTAAGCAGCCACGAATAAGACCCCGCCTCGTACCTCTTTCCTCGCTGCTTTCGCCGCTCTTTGTCACACCCCGAATGGGCTCCGACACCTCCTGCTGCGGTGCCGCTGAGTTAGGAAGGCTCCCCAGTTCCCCGCCCCGAGTTTCACGGCTCCTCGTAGCCTTGTCCCACCGATGGACCCGGTGGTGAGTGGACAGGATACTCCTCCAAACTCCGTGCCGATCTCCCTTCCCTCCTTTCGAGTTCCGCTTCAAAATCCTTGATCTTTACCCAGTGATCTCTCTCAAGGCTGCACCTCCTCCAGAATCACGTATGGGGACTATTAAAGCGTGGAGGTCATAGTTGTAGGCTGTGCAGGTATCGCGTAGACAGGGTTCCTCCTTCAAGCTCTTTTGCGTTTTGCATTGGGAGTGTGTGATCACTATAAGAAAGAGATCTTGCAATAACTTTTTCCATAAGCAGTTTAATGTAGAAGAAAAGAGGTTGAGTACTCTTTGTCGGAGAATTTATTGTCATTGCTGTTACTTTTGCTCACATATTGGAACTCAGTTTCAGTTTCTTCTCAAATAAAAATGAACAGTGTTTATTACTTCCCTAGAGTTGTTTGGGAGAAGCTTTATTTTGTTTTCCTTAACTAAATAGTGTAGATCCCATGTTTTCATCTAGGAAGTCTGCATTCAGGGAAATGTGTTGTAACAATTGCTTTACACAAAAAGTCATGTTGGTAATTGATAGAAAAGACTTTCCTGTTGACCTTTTGCTTAAAAAACAGCTCAGTATTGAAATTGGAACAGACTAGATATGCAACAATATTTTAGAGTTACATTTTGATGTTGAAAACTGAAATCTCCAACTTAGTTCATATTCTATCAATTCCTTTTTTTCTGTTTCCAAATTACATGTTCTTGTGCACTACATGCCTGGTTAGTCTGTTATTTTTCACTCTTTATACCATTGTTTTCTTGTCATGCTTTTTGCTTTAATTCTGTATCCACTATCCCTTTTTTGAGTACAATAATATTACTCAGGGCAAATTCTGATTCAGAATTCATATTTCTCTGCAATTTTCCATGTTATGTCTCTTCATTGTATGAATCTTTAAGAGATTTTTCTCCAATTGCTTTTATTTGTGGTAAGATGGATGCTTTGACAACCTTCTTGGGCTACGCTAATTTCTATTCCCAGAAGTGGTTTTGCTGATCATGTTATTTGTTTTGCACTAATATCTTTTTAATTTTATTTTTAATGAATTAAAGTTGCCCACACATGTAAGAATTTCATATTGCTTTTGCACATTAGAAGACACATTAAATATATTTAAATAGTTTATATGCATGGTGTTTAGACTGAGACCAACACAATTTGTTTATAAAGGATGTTTTGGCTAACAAAAGTATAAAGTAAAGGAATAGGTTATATTTGAATATACTTCCTAGCTATCATCCAATTGTTAGGTGGCCTTGGCTCATATAGCACAGAAGGCAGACAAGATAAGGACATTTGCCGATAAGCTGATTTTTGTAATAAAAAGCCTATGTATGAGGAGAAACTTGTTTTGCTGCCGATAAGAAAGTGAATAGATAATAAGCAGGTATTTAGACAATGACATGATGCAGTGGAAGATTTTGGTAGCTATTTGTAAAACAAAACCAAATTGTTACAGTAGAAATAAAAGCTATTTTAGGTTTGAGTGAAATGTTTAAGCCAAGTAGTAGTTTACAAGTAATGCAACCACCCATAACCTAATCAGTTTATTGTTAGAGAAAGTTGTTTTGGATTAACTAACCATCCTAGGTTGAATGAAATAGGAAGGACAAGTAACAAAGTGTTGATACTTCCCTGCTATTAAAGAAAATTGCCTAGAATGGTTTCACAAAAATGGGACACCTGTAAGTAAAAGCTTTCTTCTTTTCATTTCCCACCCCTTTGTCCATTGGGGGCAGTTAGAACAATAGCAGATACATAATCTCCCTTTCTATACCAGCCTTTATCAGGTTATCAAGTTTTTGTTTTTCCTTAAGAAACATAAAGTAGGAAGTGACAGCCTTCCAGCTACTTTCCTCATAGCTGGACTTCCTGCAAAGATGGCTGCTCTATTGCTCATTTGTCTGCCATCATATTCCAGGACAAAACATTTACCACAGGATAGCATCAAACTGGATTAACTATGTTATGTGAATACAGCCTAACTTTGGGGGAGAAAAACTATACCTGCACTTTATTTTGAATGATATTTACCTCTTCCAAAAGTATGTGTTTAGAGCCTTATAGTGATTAGGCTACCTGGATTAATCTGTTACTTAACACAAATTGTGGATAAGCCTTTAATAGTGATTGCTCTTAGGTAAATTTGTTCTTAGCTGTTGAGCCAGTTGGTAATGAGGAAGGCTTTCCACCTAGAACAAGAGCAGGCACTCTGATACTTTTTCAGTATTTTATACTAAAAATTTTACAAATTCAGTTTAATTTAACTTGCTGGTCAGTCACTTTAGTGATTTATCCCTTCCAAATTTAAGTGGCATCTGGTTTCTTTTTCCCCATTCTGAATACCAACTTACAATTCAAAATTTGCATGATGTATTGCAAGATAAGCTGTATGATAAGAAGCATCAGTATTTTTTTGCTCATCTACTTCAACCTGTATTATAGAATGACAATGTTAGACACCTGGTGTAGTTGGACTTAAGAGTGTGAAATCTAAAACAGAATATGGCATAATTTCAAGATAACTCATGTAAAAATAGGTGGTTTAGTTTCAGATACAATTGTCTATAACATTTGTCACAAGAATGAAATCTTGGTGTAATGGCACGTTAATAATTATTCCATGAGGTTTTCAGATCCTTTGTATCATCAGGTATAGATTCTTTTATACCATCAAGTTCTCCCTTTTAAGAAGATTAACTTGCCTTCTTGGCTCTTAGTTTTTCTTTCAAGCAGCATATAAAATGAAAATATAACTGTGTGTGTGAAATGCATCAATTCAAACAATTACAGTTTTGAACAAGAACATGAAGGTTGGTGAATAATATGTCTACATAGCATCTTGGTACTCTTTCAGAATCATTAAAGAGATGTGCACTACAGTGTCCAGAAATGCTGTTTGTCACACTTCTTGGAACAAACAAATAATGTTTTTGTGATTAAATTTAATTTGTATGAGTGTAAAAGTGTCCATTGGGGAAGTAAGATCTTTAAAAGGCATTCCTGACATTCAGCTGTCAGATATCATCAGGAAGCGGTCCTGTATGACCTTATGTATGCCCCTTGCAGGAAAAGATTCAGATTAAGACAAAAAGTGTCCTCAGGGAAAAATACAATAGCTGAATGTGCAGAAGGATATTTAAAACTGGAGCTTTAATAGAAAAGAAGAAAATTGAAACTTTATTTTTCTCAAGTTATTTAGACTTGAATAAGGCCATTTAGAGCAGGGGTGTCAAACTCACGATATCATGGCGGCATCACATGACGTATCAGGACTTTTTCCCCCTTTGCTAAACTGGGCATGGGTGTGGCCAGCGCGTAATGTATCCAGGCCATGGGCTGCAAGTTTTACAGCCCTGATTTAAAATGAATCTAATGCAGGAATCCAGATTGAAGCATCTTTAATAAATGGGGATCTAGTCTTTGCATGAACACATTTGGACTATGTTTGAATACATTATTGAGTAATAGCTTATACAGCAACCCAGATTCAATCCTATTGTCAAAGTCTTCTAAAATTTATTAATACACCCTTTTCCTATAATTTAAGACCATTTCTCTATGTTCTTCACCAAGGAAGATAATAACAGGTCTTGTCCTTTCTTTAACTATGTTAGACTGGTGTTAACTGAAATAATTAAAAGAAGATAAGCATTTGAAATAACTTTGCTGTGGCTTGAGAACTAAAATGGGAGAATGGGCAGAGTAATGCTTCCCATCTCAGTGCACATTGTTTTAAGAAACTCCCCATTTTATGTAAGAGAAAACATTGTATCTTAAAGTTAACTTCAGTTTGGAATTAAGACATGCCTTTGGAATTAATATTAATGTAATACCTCAGAACAATGTTATTTAAAAAAATGCTGAACTATGATATGAGAAATAAAAAAAATCAATCTATAAAATGTACTGATATTTATGAAGTTTCAGCTCTGATATATGATTTAGTAAGAAAGGCTGGAGTCACTTAGAAGTTATTCATGTACTGAATTACCATGTTGTCTGAAACTGATGGCTGATGAAGCATAATTTTTTAGATACAATTAATCACGTGCCTAGCATCTAAATACCATTAACTGGTATAAAATGTTAAAGCTTTTTGAGAGCAATGGATAGGGGGCTGTGATATAGCAAAAGTTAAAGCTTTCATATTTTGTTCCTAAGGTTGCAAAGGAGTCTTGGTTCTTTTTCTGTTGAAAATAAAATACAGGTTAACAATAGTTTTTCGCAATAACATATTATAAGCTGCTTCTGTCATTCACTAAAACACTCTTTTTAAAAAAATACAATAGATTCTGTATTAAGTGTTACAAGTTTCATATAAAACATTTATTAACATAAGTAATAAAATCCAGCATTTTCTCTAACTGTATATTAGGTATAAGCCCCATATTCTTGCCTAGGACCTCACTAAATAATTTTGCAAATCCTGTGATTACTAATTAAGCAGAAGTATATAGGCACAGATGGGTTTGGATTTTTAAGAAATTTTTAAGGGGTTCCTTTAATATGCCTACTTATATGGTTGTGTCCAAATCTTCACATATGTTGGTGCTTCGAAATAGTGGGACACTTTACCAAAATCATTCACCAGAGGTCAGAGAGGGCAGTAAAAGGGAAAAACAAACATTAAAAAAACAACTTTACAATAGCTTTTATCATTGTCTTTTCTTTGTAGCATCCAGAACCACCCAAGTTTGTTTTTAATGGTTTAGTCCTAAACTTTTAAATAGCAGCTGTGATTTCTTTGCACTTTTTTAAAGTAAAATTTCTCTTAAACCCTTGTTTGGATTCTTCTATGCAAATATTCTACCTCAGTTGTTCATGGGAATATTCATTCAATCAGGATTCCTTAGTAGCTGAATTTTTAAAAGTGTATTTCCTGGTTGCAAAATGGGCTTTCTACCTCTGTTTATAATATTTTACATTATAAACAGCAAGCTCCACTGGCGACCATCTGCCCTGTGCCACGTGAGTCTGAAAATGGGCGCCCCAGCCGTACAGGCTGGCATCCGTCTTTATGACAAGGCGCTCTCAATCCTTGAAGAGGGAGCCTGAATGATCGTTCTCTAGGCGCTGCAGGAGTGTCCAACCCCACCCTGGGGTAATCTAGCGGAGCCGAGTCACCTCTCCTGACAACATAGTTCACCTTCTTACTCCACATCATTGTTTTTCAAAACGACCTCCAAAGGAAGCAGGAGGCGTGGCTACACTAAAGATTTAAACTCAGTCCTTGGGCAGCAAGCTGAAGTTAACCCATGCTTGCGCACTCCCGCAGCGCCTAGAGACCAAC